ATATTATATGCAGTTGTATGGGGACACTAATTTCCACTGCTCAGACTTGATGCATGGCGTTGCGTCTCTCAAGATGCTTTGTACGCTTATGGAAGGAAAGGATTACGGGCAGAACATTCTGAGAAACTCCCATGTCTCAAAGGTACCGGCAAGCTAGGTCCCAAACTCACCGAGCACCAGTTTTGCCATGGATAGCTGTACAGCGCGCGCTTCTTAGATTCAAGCCGAGAACTCCGCAGACAACACCGTCGGGCATTAGGTTCAAAATGGCGCAAAGTATGCTGCCCTGCCGCCGCGCGCAATTGGGATGTGATGTTCTGACATACGTGCACTGGGGTATGACGCATGGCACACCATCTCTTTTCATTGTTGTGATCTCGGTTTTCTCTAAAGCCACACCCCCACCCCCGAAACAGACCTGATTAAAAGCAGTCTAACTGCAACAGCCCTTGTCAGCCTTCAATTGTACCTTATCTAAGCTTCAAGCCCCAAACCTGAAACACCTGAAACCCCCATGATCGGAAGGACGAAAAGGCCCCTCAAAGATTTGTCGCAACAGGGCTAGGGCATTTGTCGGCACGCGTGTGACCCAGCCCATTTGATGAGTCAACACTATGCGGAACGAATCTGTTAGGGTAGCGAAAGCCCTCAGACCTGTAGGCGCCCTAAATCCCTAAACCCTAAACCAATCCCCACAATCTGCAAAATCCCAAAACAGCAATGTGAGAGAAACTATGACAACTAGTACTACTACGATTCTTTCTACTGTTATGATGATTATGAGTACTGTTACGACCATTACTACGAGTACTATTATTACAATTACTACAATTATTGCTATTATGACTATTACTACGATCATTACTATTATTACTAGTATGCATTGACCTTGGAAGCCTGGAGCCCGGAACAGCCCAGCGGCAGTCGATAAAAGAAAGCCGCCGACTCTTTGTCTCCTCTGACAATAGGGGGTACCTTAAAAGAGGGTATAGGGGTCGTTTAGTGGTTGGATTAGGGTTACACAGGAGTTAAAGAGGGTTTGAGGTTTCGCAGAATGAGGGGTACCGTTTTGAGGGTTCCGATAGCATTTTTGGGGGTCTGTATTGGGGTCCCCCCAGTTAGGCAAGCTACCGTATCACCATATCCTAAACCCTAAACCCTAAACCCTGAGATTAGGGCTTAGGGGTCTGGGGGCTAAGGTTCTAGCGTTAAGGCTTTAGGGTTTGAGGTTTGAGGGTTTAGGGTCTCCTCTGACTGACTCATCGCCGACGAGGCGCGGCTTGGCTTCTCACATAGTAGGGCTTGGGGATTGATATATTAGTGCTTAGGGCTTCGTATCGGCTTTGAATCGACATTCGTTAAGAGAGTACATGTATGACCCTTGTAGTTAGGTCCTAGTTAGGTCATCGCAGACAGCAGCATGACTGTTGCCTTTGTCAGGGTTGGTTGTTGTGCTTGAGCTTCCTTGATTTCTCCTCACTCTGGGCACCCCGGATGCAACCTACAGTTTCTGCTGCTAGTCAGGTCGGGCTGTTGCAGTGCTTGGATTTAGGGTTAGAGGTGTGAGGTTCGGTGGGCTTAGTGGGGTTCTGGGCCATGCAAGGGTGGGGAAATGGACCCACAACCCCTCTACCCCTTGTTTCAGGGTTTGCCGTTGAGCTCATAGCCTGTTAAGCTACCGCAGGTATAGGAACAGCTTGAGCCAGGACGGTCGCATGGGGTATCGGCTGAAACGTAACCCCCCCCCAATAAGGCAGCATGGAAGTCCAAAAACAGCCCTACAAGGACGAGCGTCTTGTTAGAAAAGGGGGCTATGTGGGGTTCCAGCTTAGTTCGTAAGTTGCTATATGCTTGCCCTTGTGTTGAAACCCACTGATGGCTAGAGCCTTGCGAGTTCTCGATTCCCCTGTCATGGCGTCAAAGTAGATGCACGTTCATGTAGCCTCCTCTCAAGACTTGAGGATTTCAGGGCCTCAGCGGATCGAGAGTGATGACTCATGGCGGGTAGAAGGAGAGATTTGCAGGAGAATTAATTGCAGCTTGAACTAAGGCACACTGGACCTCCTGTACTACTAAACACTACCCATATCTGAGTAAACAACTCATTCACGCTCCAGTATAATAGTTTCCCTTTTATTTTCCATTATCCCTATATAACCTATACACTATATAGTAGTTTCCATTTGATTTTCCATTATCCCTATAGAGTGGATCTTGTTGGGAGCTTTCAGAATGCTCTACTTACGTGTGACACAAGCTTTGAAAGCTAACGAGCACTAATCCCAGTTTCCATGTCATTTTCCATGTCGTTTTCCATTTGATTCTGCAGTAGAGCCTTAATATATACCCCAATATATACCCTAATATATACCCCAACGAATACCCACCCTTCAATCCTGAGACTGCACGACAGTCGGAATCCATGAAGACTGCTCCGCATGATGATGATTAGGATGAGGAGGGTAAAGATGGGTTTCGGTAAACCCCAAACCCTAAACCCTAAACCCAGTATGAGGATGATGTCGTTGCGGACAAAGATATGATGCCGAGTGTGCCTTCCCTTCACTGCCCAAATTTCTGAACCCTAACCAACCGAAAAGCTGACGTTCTCCCCATAGAGCCCGCAAAGACAGATGAGCTATAGTCTAAACTCCTAGTACCCCCTTAGTAACCCCTATACAACTTCCCTATAAAAATCCACCTATATAACCCCGTTAAGGAATGTTAAAGAGTAATTAGACTATAGCTCAGATATTTATAGGTCCCAACCCCTGTAATACTTCCCTGTATAACCCCCCTATATAACCCCTTGTAACAGTTTCAAGGAGTAAGTAAACTATAGCTTAGATATTTATAGGTCCCCATGGTCTCTGCCGGTCCTAGAAAACTTACCAGAAGCTGCTTTTTGTCCTTTGCCCAGTCGCTCACACTGCTGAGCAGGTGAGATCAACCCCGCTAAGTGCACAGCCTGGTGCGGTCATGTGGAAGAAGCCAAGTATGTGTGGGGGAGGGGTTGGGGTTTAGGGTTTAGAGTTTAGGGGTGAGGATTTAGATTGGGGTCTGTTTTGGGGCCATCTATGTATGGAAACTACCTACTAAAAGTGGTGGTTAGTAGGGAGCGAAGGAATAAGGTATAGTCACCGCTTTACTGGCTAAAACAGACAGTAAGATGTGGATCCGGTCCGCTATTCCCTGCTAACCACCGGAAAGTATTTCATCAGAACCAGTGAGAAGCCTTAGAAGTCAGAATCATGAAGAAGCCTCAACACCTAGAGCAGTATCGTGGGACCAAACAAATACTATGAATGTTGCCTGTACACGATGCCTTGTTGTCAGGAGTGTTCTTGGAAACCGGGTACCTGAATTGAAGACGGGATATTATGATTCATCAACATTTCTGGAAATTAGGAAGGTCATATCCTCGCACATATATACATATACTCTTAGAACATATCCGAAATTCCTGTCCTAATGCTTTAAGAACCTACAGTGTGGGCTCCTCTCAAGGTTATTCAACGCTATTTTGAAAGATCCTGGTCTGGGATTACTTGTCCATACCAACATGGAACACCGCAAGAAAACGCCCTACAGAGGTTCGGCAGTTCGACTTGAAACGTGTGGAAGGATTAGTGAGAATAACTGTGGCAATTCTACTGCTTTGGGCTATGTAAGCTTCTTATCTTGGAAATACAAGAATTTGGCAGGCCACGTGTAAGTCTTATACAAGCATGGTTGAGACTGGCAAGAGGAATACACCAGTGAGTAAAGTCGAGAGCATGTGTATGTCGAATGCCTACATATCATATCTATGCCATCCAACTTTGGGCCTTTAAACCCTCAGCTCTTATAGGGTTTAGGGTTTAAGGACTCCTTGCAGGGGTTTTATAGGGGATTATATATAAGGGACTACTATAAGGCTTATTACAGCCCTTAAGCCGAAAAATCAAAGCTTAAATCTCAGAATCTCTGCTCCAAAGTCTGAGCACCAGCCAGCGCATTCATGCAGAGCTTCTGGAGCGGGAAGCGGGTGGCAAGCTCACCCGAGCCCATTCCATTTGCAGGCGGGTTGTTTTCACATTGGATAAAGTATCGGATTAAGGTCCCAAGGTCCCCCTAAAGTAGACAGAGTAGGGCCTTGGGTAAATCATAATATGATCCGCATATACCCCATATTCTATCTACTTAAGGGGGACTATAAGGTCTTAAGAGTTTGGCCTGGGTTCGCTTTTGAAAGAAGGCGGAGATTGAACGTCTTGATTATGCATGCCAGCATTAGCATTAGAGGGTTTAGGGTTTAGAATTTGCTCCTGTGCCTTGTAGACACCCTAAAAGTAGTAGCCTTCAAGCACACGGCCGTGGTTCAGTACACCCGGAGCCCACATTTTGGGGTTTAGGCGATCTTAGACCTATTATACTAGAGTAGTTTCCCAAGTCTTTTCGATTACTCCCTACAAGGGAATATAATCCCTAAATAGCATATCATACAGGACCCTAATGCAGAACCATGATTAATGAACCCCTCCCTCTAAGGGCCTGAATATAGGATCCCTAGAAAAATCCCTATTAAGGGGAAGGGCTTTATTAATCACGGGTCTACATCCCTAAGCCCTAAACCCTAAATAGTAGTTTCCGTTTCATTTTCCATCATCCCAATATAACCCCCAATATTACCCTTATATATCCAATCAGGGGTCTGGGTTACTAAGAGCCAGAAACCCTAATGTGAATGTCCTGAGGTCTGACTTGTGTACGTGCCGGCCTTCGAGGCTCAGCGGGGGCGGGAAGGGTCCGGGTAGCTCTGAGCCATAGAAGCCGCCTGGGGCGACGCTTGGTGGAGAAGGAAAAGGAAGAGAAGAAGAAGAAGAAGCGAGGCCGCTTCGGGAAGGTCAAGCAGGGCTATCAATCCAATCGATTCAGATTGGTAGCGGAGCCCTGGACCCCCGCCAGGAAGGCGCAAGGGGGGGACAGGGCGACCGCGGCTGGGACAGGCCTAGCCAGGGATGCCAGGAGATTCTGATGGCAGCGCAAGCGGCACTGCGGCAAGTGCCAACGAAGATCGAGGCAGTGGATTTTGGACGTTGCTTCCAAGCTTTGATCCCTCTGCAGATGATCCGAGAGAATATCGCGACAAGGTGACGTTTTTGAAACAAGTGTGCCCGACGAAGGACCGCGGCATGCTTGCGCCGAGGCTGGCGCTGTTGTGCAAAGGAACGGCTTGGAGCCAGGTCAAACAGATCGAGGCAGCAAAGCTGACAGATCCGGAGAGTGGCGTGGAAGTGCTTCTTCAGGCACTGGCTTCTTGGGATGAGTCGGCAGAGCTGCAGACCTATGAGAGGTTCGACAAGGCAATTTATCGCACGCTCCAGAAGAATGATGAGTCGACAATGTCCTTCATGAACAGGCTTGGCGTAGCCTTCCATGAGCTTGGGGACAAGATCACGATCAAAGAGCTCCAGGCCTTCATCCTTCTTCGGCAAAGCTCGCTGACGAGTGAAGACAAAAGAAAGGTGATCACGTTGACCGGTGGAACCCTTGAAATCCAGAAGGTGGAACAGGCAATGCGGACATTGTCAACAAAGATTCTTTCCTCTGCAGGAGAAATCAAGAAGAAGACCTATCCGGCCAACTATGTCGACGACGACGAGGAAGACATCAACCTCACCGAGGAGGATGCCGATGAAGAGTCTCTCCTGGCCAACGTCGCCGAGGCCGGGGACGAAGACGCCATTTTTGTCCTAGAGTACGAAGACCAGATCCTGGACCTCGTTCAAGAACTTCCTGAGCTAGCTTCTTGTTTCTCGGCCTACACAGCCGCACGCCAACGTTTGCGAGATCGACACAAAGGAAGGGGCTTTTGGCCACCACGGTCAGCATCCAAGGGCGGCAAGGGCAAAGGTGGCGGCAAGAAAGGTCGGGGGAAAGGCAATCCTCTCCGCAAGTCACTTGCAGAAAGGATCGCCAGCAGCAATTGCAGGATCTGTGGTCAGCGTGGGCATTGGCGGGCAGAGTGTCCGCAGAACAAAGGCTCTTCCTCCGACAATCAGGGCCCCGAGACCTCCAACCTGGTGATGTATGCCTCCGAGACCGTGGACGAGCCCGAGATCATGGACAAGCTTCCTTTCGCCGTGGCCATGACCGAGAACGAGAACCAGCCGGATGTGAAGATCAACAAGCCACCGGTCCCCGCCTTAATTCAAATGCAACCTGAGTTAATGTTTCTTGGTCAGCATGAAAATCTTGTTGATCATGTATGTTCCGCAAGAGCCCACGACATGTCTGAAAGCAGCAGAGATCTGATCTGCAAACTCCGCAAGTGTTGGGATAGACTGAGGGGAAAAGATGATTGTTCTGAACAGGCCCTGTTTGTAGGTAGACCCGAGACCGCGATCCTTGACACGGGTGCCAGCAAAACAGTTGTTGGACAGGTGCACTTTGAGCTTTTCATGAAACAGCTTTCTCAGTCTCTCCGAAGTCGCATCAGGAAATCACCTTCAGCTACGGTGTTCAGGTTTGGCAATAACGGTACGTTGCCCAGTTTGTACTCAGCATATGTCCCTTTTGGCAGTAAGTGGTTCCGCATGGAAGTTGTAGCTGGGCAAACACCGTTCTTGCTGTCGAATTCGGTGATGCGACAGATGAAGTGCAAGCTGGATTTCGAGCCTGTGGATTCCGGAGTATAACCGAAACACACAACTAACGGTAGGGGTAAAGGGCCTTTATCATGTTGATGTTTTAGATCTCCTGAACCTTAATCCCACGGAGAGTGCAATGTTCGAACTGGACATGAATCGGAATGAAGCAGCCGTCCCCGAAGTGAATGATCAGCTTCAAACGTGTGCCCCAACGGTATCTTTGAGACCTCCTGCGGATCATGGCAACCGAGCTCGAGAGCATCCTTGGCGAGCCCCTGATAGGGACAGACGACGCGTCCCTATCCCTGGAGATTGCCGAGGCCCCAGTGTTCAAGCCTCCAGAGGTACAGTCACTTCGTCAATGGGGTCAGTATCACCTCCAGGAAGGATTTAAGAAACAGGCACATCACCTCCAAAAGTTTGCTAAGCTTCAAGAACTTTGCCAACGCCATCGAGCAGGCCAAGCTTCGTCGCAAGAAAGCAGCTCAGGAGGAGACCGAGCGCACGCAGGATCACCTCGCCCACATGCCCGACAACCGGGGATCCGGGACAGTGATGCCAAAGATGTCTCAGGGGTACATGAAGGACACCCTCGACGAGAAGGACCAGAAGCCTCTGCCACCACGCCGTGGGCAGAGAGGTACATCAGCAAGCTCCAGCAGCCAGAAGAGGGCAACCTCCTGGGATGTGATCGAGAACGAACAGCTGAAGGGCATGTCACAAGACGGGGGGAGTCAGGAGCAGATCATGTCGATTCAGACCCAGATTGCAATTCTCCAGCGCGAGCTGTCCCGTCTTCAGGGAGAGCAGTAGCCGAGTGCCTCATCACAGACCCAGATTGCTGTTCTTCCATGCGAGATGTCTTGCCTTCAGGGAGAGCAGCAGCTGCGGTAGAGGGTGAGAACCAGTGTTTTGATACGACGTTGGAACCCAAACTTCTAACACCCGAACAGGTTGAGCAGATTGGGCGAGATATTGATCAATTGTGTTTGTTGGTAGAGCGGTCTTTGTCCACAATGAATGGGTTCCACACAAAATCCTATGAGCCTTTGCCACCTGAAGCTAGTCGGAGACCGGTTTTCCTGGAAATCAGCATTGGGTTGCAAGGCATGGTGGGTCGTAGTATAGGCTCAAGGGGTGGTTTCTGGGAAAAGGTTGATCTGACGCGGCAACAGCTTCACAAGGCAAGCGTGGCAGGAGAGATCTGGAAAAAGATAATCGAACTTCAGCCGCAACATGTTTGGGTGAGCGTTGGCCCTAAACAGTCCAGTGGCCGTGAGCAACATGTCATTGCACAACTTTGCAGCGAGTTGTATGATGAACAGGTGGCAAGAGGAGATCATTTTCATCTCTGGGCACATGAAAGCCTCATCCAGGAAGCTAATCTCGAAGAAGTACTTGCGGGGACCCTTCCAACATTCTATCACGTAGGGCATATTCCCCGGGCCTCCAAATTGAAGGGAAATAATTACCTCCGCCAAAGGGTGAATGTTCACACTACTTCCCGACAATTACATCAGGGCCTTGATTGGAGATATATGAACCCCAAAGAAGAAAGTGATAGCCCCCGAAAACGATTATATGCGTTAGGGTTGTCCCCAAATGTAGCTTACTGGACGAGCCGCAAAACCAAAGAGTGGCCTCTCTTGCTGTCTGAATGGTGCTTGCAAACCGAAAAACGTGAAAATCCCCACATTGCAGAGGAATGCCAAAACATACTGAAGCGCCGCCGGTGTCATCGCAAACAGCTGCCGTCCGACCACAATGGATATGGGAAAAGTATGGTCACATGGGAATCAGTCTTTAGAGAAATTAATACTCGGGTCCCCAAAGGTGGAAACTTTATAATTCCCCCGGATGATGACCTTGTGACCAAAATCCAACAGCTGGCTCCAGAAATGAAGGTGCATCATGCAGAGGCATGTCGAGGGGTAAACCGGCTACGAACACCCACTGGAAGGTTTGAGATTTCACATGTAAACCACCGGAAAACAGTTGTTGTTGAAAGGAATTCTGGAAAAGTAGAAGAGTGTGGCCCCGTTGAAAAATGGACCGCGCTTCCCCGATACAAGCAAATTCGAACCGGAAAACCAGCCAAAATTGCCATTACAGTTTTTGGGACATGTCCTGAAATGTCGGATGCGGTACAGGCTTCGCCAAGTCCGCCTCACCCAAATCGCCCGACCGTGGATCCGCCGCCGAATCTCAGAACAGGAACCGGAACGGAAATCGGGGATGTTGAAATGCCCGCCGTCGGCTCACCTCACATGCCGGAACAAACACAAAAGGGATGGGGTCCTCCGCCCATTGCCAACCACGGCCCCGGCTTTCTCAAGCTTACACCCCAGGAACAAAGTGAAATCCGACACCTACACCATAACCTCGGACATCCCGATGCTCAAAAGTTCGTGCGCTACCTCAAACAAGGAGGTGCGGGAGAAGCAGTGCTGAAAGGAGCGGCCGACTTTCAATGTGATGCGTGTTCGGAGTCTCGTAAGGGATTTATGGCCGCACGGCCATCCGCCATACACGAAAACTTGGCTTTCAATACAAAGGTCGGGCTGGATCTTGTTTCATGGAGAAATGCAAAAGGGCACGAATTCCACTTTGTTCCTTTTATCGATGAAGCAACTCAATTTCACTTAGGAGCAGAGTGCAGTCAGGGAGCAGAAGGGATCATTGAACACTTTGAACAAGTTTGGGTAAGTTGGGCGGGATACCCTGGTGAAGTGTGTGTAGATCCGGGTGGGGAATTCATCTCAGACGCCTGGGCATTGAAAACGCAAGAGGCAGGGATTAAAGTGAATATGTCTGCATCCGACAGTCATTGGCAACTAGGAAGAGCAGAAATTCACGGAAGTACCGTGAAGCAAATGCTGAGCAGAATGGACCTTGAGCAAGGGATTGAGAGCTCACACGAGTTCAGAAGGGCGTTGCGTCATGCTTTTGCTGCAAAGAATACGTTGTGTAGGGCAGATGGGCACACCTCACAACAAGCCGTCCTAGGAGTCTCTAGTCGTCTCCCTGGTTCAATCCTGTCTGATAGCAATGCCTCGTCACATGCGTTGGCCGAGAGCGGGACCGCGGAGGGTGGCAACCTTCCGGAGGGGCAACGCTTTCTGGAAGAGCTTCAGCTTAGAGAACGCGCAAGGAAATCCTTTGTCATGGTCGACAACAGCGCAAGCTTCAGGAGAGCATTGTTGCGGCGCACGAGACCGATGCGAAGCCAGTGGGAACCTGGAGATCTTGTGCTGTATTGGCGCCGGAAGGGTGGAAACATGCGACGTGAGCATGGACGATGGCATGGGCCAGCAGAGGTCATTGCCACTGAGAAGCAGAAGGTCGTTTGGCTTAGTCATGCGGGTCGTCTAATCAGAGCCAGCCCGGAGCAACTTCGAGCAGCTTCTCTCCGCGAATGGCAAAAAGTTCCTAAAGATGATCATGGCAAGCCACTTCAACAGCTCGAACCTCTCAAAGAACGCTTGAAGAGTGCCCCGCAGTACTTTGACCTTGAGGGCGAGGACGTTCCACCCCGAGAGGAAGTAGAATCCCCTTACATAGAGGTAGAAGGGCTCTCCGAACCTGATGCTGAAAATACTCCGGACTCCCCAGCTGGATTGTCCAATGTGAATCGGCCAGAGGCCAACTCCATTGGACAGAACATTTCTGATGATGTTCGCATGCCCACTCAAAGTGAGCGAGAACTGTCTGAGCAAAGTCAGGAAGTTCCCGTTCCCGAAGATGATGATGATGACCTAGAGTTTGGGGATTGTGTGGTTGTAGATGAGCCGGTTTTTCATAGTGGTTGTGATCGATGTTGGGAAATAGATATCACGCCCCCAGAGGGATGGAATCTTCCTGAGGAACTGGACGAAGACATGATATGTCTTGCTAGTGAAAGCCGCAAGAAACGGGTTGAGGTCAAGCTCCGAGATCTCACAGTTCGAGACCAGCAACGGTTTGCTCTAGCAAAGCACAAGGAGGTTAGGGCATGGATCACCCACAAAACAGTTAAGAGGGTCTCCCAAGGAAAAATCCCCGAAAAGAGCATTATGCGTTGCAGATGGATTTACACTTGGAAACCAGCGGAAGCCGTAGACGCAGCCACCTTCGATGGGAAAAAGGCTAAGGCTAGATTGGTTGTGTTAGGTTTTGAGGATCCTGACATAGACCATGTCCCGAATGATGCCCCCACCCTAACCAAGGATGGTAGGCAGCTTCTCCTTCAGAAAATTAGTTCCAATCGTTGGCGGCTGTGTTCGTTTGACATCAGCACGGCATTTTTACATGGCCGAGGCGACGGCCGATTGCTTGGGATTCAGGCACCACCAGAGATTAGGGAAGCTCTGAACATGTCTGAGGGAGATCAATGCGAATTAACTGGGGGAGCCTATGGTAGGATAGATGCCCCATACCTTTTGGTATCAGGAGCTGCGCAAAGAATTGATCTCCCTTGGATTTCAACAGTGCCCGCTTGACCCTTGTGTATATTCGCTCTCCGAAAGGGATCCATCTGGAAGGTTAGTATGTCATGGGGTCATGGGGATTCATGTTGATGACGGTGTATGTGGGGGTGATTCTAGGTTTCACGAGGTCCTGAAGAAGTTACGTGAAAAGTTTAGCTTTGGGTCATTCGAGGAACGCGATTTTGTTTTCACGGGCATTCGGCTACATCAGTGGGAAGATGGGAGCATTGAGATGGATCAAAAAGAGTATATCTCCAAGATAGAGTCCATTAATGTTCCTAGGGATCGTAGGAAGAATCTTGATGCTCCCCTCACTGAAGCCGAGAGACACCGATACAGACAGCTGATCGGGAGCCTCAGTCCACACAAGAGCAGACCTCTGTGCCAAGGTAGGTGAGCTCCAGTCAGCTATCAATTCAGCAAAGGTGTCTCACTTGTTGGAAGCGAATAGGGTACTCCATGAAGCTAAGACCCATCCTGTCGCAATCATGATACTTCCTATTGCAGAGCAAGGGCTGACATTTTGCGCATTTTCGGATGCATCCTTTGCTTCCAATAACAAGTTGAGCGCGCACCAAGGGACAATCATCTTTTCAACTAGTCGCGAGATCCTCCAGAACAATACTGCAGTAGTATGTCCTATGGCCTGGTCATCTAAGAAAATCCCCCGAGTGGTTCGCAGTACTTTAGGAGCAGAGGCTTTCTCGCTAAGCAACTCTGTTGACCGCCTTTCGTGGATAAGAATCTTCTGGGCATGGCTAAAGGACAGCTCTGTAGCTTGGTCCAAACCAGAAGAGCTTCTTCAGAAAGAGCCATCAGCAGCAGCTGTGACCGACTGTAAGTCTGTCTTTGACATCGTTACCAGAACTGCACCTCCACAGTGTGAGGAGCACAGGACAACTATTGAGTGTCTTCTCATCCGACAGGGATGCAGGAGAATTGTAAGCTAAGATGGGTTGCGTCTGGCGCGATGCTTGCCGACTGTCTAACTAAAGCCATGGACGCAAGCAGACTCCGTGAGTGTTTGAAGACGGGTCGATATGCTTTGTTTGACGAGCAGATGGTTCTTAAACAACGATCGGATAAGCGTAGACAGCTGCAGTGGGTTAAGCAGCAGGGGGATAGACAACAACCATCTCCCAACGAAGCTTGCTTTCAGAGTTTTCATGGCCAAAGTGATTTCTGGAGGATGGATAAGCAACGGGGCTTTCTTGAAAGGGTTCATCGGCAGCCTAGATGGGTTCGGTTCACTCCTGTAGGGGTAGGTGAGTGCCCGGTTGCGATAGGGGATCTAGGGGTGCATAGGATAACTTTCTGTAAACCACTGTCCTCTCAGAGAACAAAGGCCATTGAAGATACGTGGGTGGGAACAGCCGCAAATGCGTCAGAAGGGCAAGCCTGGACCGGAGTCACTCGCTTTTTCTTGAGCCAGAAGCCCGAGGCTTCCGTCAAGGCGCTTACCAGTCAGACCTCATAACCCTATCAAACTTAAAAAACAATCTTATTTATAGTGAGTGTGAATGTCCTGAGGTCTGACTTGTGTACGTGCCGGCCTTCGAGGCTCAGCGGGGGCGGGAAGGGTCCGGGTAGCTCTGAGCCATAGAAGCCGCCTGGGGCGACGCTTGGTGGAGAAGGAAAAGGAAGAGAAGAAGAAGAAGCGAGGCCGCTTCGGGAAGGTCAAGCAGGGCTATCAATCCAATCGATTCAGACCCTAAACCCTAAACCCTAAGTCCAGGCATTGCAATAAGCCTTAAGCTCCCCTGGTTGGACTCAGAACGAGGCTATGGGCTCTTACCAAGGCAGGGACTTGCGGGGAACGGTTTAGGTGTTCGGGTTTAGGGCTCAGGGTTTAGGGTTTAGGGTTCAGGGTGGTTTTGGGGATAGGGTTGAGGGTTGAGTCCCCTGCGATTTGGGCTCAAACACCCACAAGCGTAGACATCACGAAACCTAGACACCAAGACCAACCCCCAACCGTAGACACTACAAATCCCTGACTCCGTGCAACGCGCCTGAAACTGCCATCTACGCAACATCCGCAGCAGGGCTCCCCTAGATCCACTATGCAACATAAGGGGTTCTCAAAACCCTAAACCCTAAACACCTGATCCTCAGGTCCCCATGGATTTTGTGGGGGTGACTGTCATGCTTATCTCGCACACGACTTCACAGTCTGGGAAATCCTGCTAGAGATGCTGCGACTGGGTCAAAGGGCCAAGGCTTCAGCACGTTTAATCTTTGTAACAAGGGTTTTATGATTTGAGGGTCTTTTGGGGCTAGCTAATTTGAATCTTTTTGCACGCTTCTGCTGTCAGTGATCAATAGTTGTAATAATTTGGAATCCCTTTGGAGAACGAGTACACATTTTTGTTTCCATTATTACAATATAACCCCAATATACTACAGACATGTCAATTTCTTTTCCATTATCCCAATATAACCGGTGAGGCCTTCTTACGTTCAATAGCTGTCACTTGCAAAAGTTGGCCTGCATGAAGATCCTGGTTGTTTCACGTGCCAGGATGTTTTCTGGGGCCTGGCACCGAGGAGTCCAAGACCGGTTGTTGAAAGATTGAGTTATAGCTCTAAACCCCAAGCCTCGAACCCGAAACCCTAAACCCTAACCCTAAACCCTAAACCCTAACCCTAAACCTTAAACGTGGCAGCCTCTGTTCATGACCCCAAGTGCCTCATACGTTGGGGATTTAGCCTCAACAGTAGGGTGGGTAAACAGGTGAGGCGTAGCCCCTTGCTTGTACTACTACGCTACATAGTTTTCACGCCGATGTGTCTGATGTGTACAGTGTACTACGGGAAAATGTCACGTGATGCCACGGCGAGCAAAAATTACTGCATCAGCGCCTAGAAACGAAAAACGTCCTATGACTGATACCTTACACCTCGAATATCTCGAACCTGCGACCCTGCACACTCTGAAATTGTGATGCCCTCGAAACCCAGGTCACGTCTAAACCCTAAACCATAAAACCCTACGCCCCAAACCCTAAAACATGCGAAGCCCATGCCCAGGGGCAGTCCTACCTACATTTTCGCTGAGCCGGGATCTGGTTTCCAGGTCCGGCCATAAGTTTCCCAGCAACTCAAGCACATAGTTTCAGGGTGATTCGGGTTGTTCGGGGTATTAGGTCTATGAAGGTTATTAGAGGTATTAGGGTTGTTAGGGGTGTTAGGGGTGTTAGGGTTAGGAGGGTTATTAGGGTTATGAGGGTTATGAGGGGTTATTAGCGTTACTAGAGTTATCATTGGTATTAGGGGTATTGGGGTTATCAGGGTTGTTAGGGTTATTAGGGTTATTAGGTGTATTTGGGTTATTAGGATTTAAGGTCTAAGAAATTGGCCCATGAGCTTACTGGCTAAGGAGGGTAAACACTGAACAAGGGATAGCTTGAAGAAAAAGTGGCCAATTGCAAACTGTTCACCTTGTATAGGGCGCTCAAGGCTGTTTTTACAAGGGCGTCAGCAGCTTAGACAATGGATACTGAAGTTCCTCCAGTAGCCTGGCATGGCCTCCTCAGGACAAAGCCGAAACCCTATTGGAAGACTATTTTGGGAAGGGGAATGGGTTCTCAAAGGGACCAAGCAGGGTGGTTGTGACGGACTATGTTGCTAGGCGTTTTCTCATTTCACCATGCTTTTGAAAGGGATCCAGATGAAAGAATCTTAGGAAATGCCATGGAAATGTCATTGGGAATGGAGACTTCTTCCGCTTAGGGTTTAAGCTTTTGGGGTTTCCTGGGGTTCTCTTCTTTGTACGAGGCATTTGCACCACCATGCAAACAACAGAATCAAAAGGAGATCTAAGTCTAAGGACAAGTAGGAATTTCCTTGTCTCCTGTTCTGAGGTTGTCCAAGCAACTTCTACAAAAAAAACTGGATTATTTGTGCTAATTGAAGGAAATCTGGTGACCTGATTGTTTAGGATTCCTACTATTTCGGGGTCTCATCGGTTTCCTAGTTAAGTTCATGGCTTGTTTGAAAAGAGGTAGATGGAACACGATCTAGGTCTGTGAAGAAACCCCCGCAATCATAAACAATATTTCAAGCCAGACGGGACGGAAATCATTAGTTTCGGGAATGTGTCCATTTCACCAAAAAAAAAA